GTACTTCCGGAAACTATCCAAACTCCCAGTAACATGGGGACATGTCCTCTATCATCACTGAAAATTTCAGCGCTCTAGCTCAAGCCGTTTTCGAGAAAATGAACGGACAAGGAGGTCCTCTGAATTTTGATAAAAGGGCGATAACTCTAGACCGGAAGTGATTTTCACAAAATCCTTCAGCCGGTATAAACTTCAGATTATCCTGCAACATCCCTGAAAATTTGAAGCAAATCCATCGAACCATCTCTGAGAAATCTTCTGCACAAAATTTGTGCAGAAAAAAAGAATAATAATAATAATAATAATAATAATAAATAGATACGATCTCGTTGCGAGCAACGAGTGGGTCTTCCGTTCGATTCTTGATGAGATGAGATCAAATTTTGATTGAGATTCTCATTCTTAAGTAATGATTTTCCATATTCTGTAAAAAGACATTGAACAATAAAGACTTCTAAAATCGACTTTTGGCCCCTCACGGCCCCTAATATTAGGGATCAGCCCTTTTTTCTTCATAACATTTTAAAGCTCTCAGGATTATGAACACTTTTTGTTCAACAACTATTCAGAGATTCTTTTTCGTTTTCGAGTTATTCGCAAAAGAAATATTTAGGGAACAGCCCTTCAACTCCTTAATGGGGACGTTTAGCGAAAAATGAAAGGTTGCATATTGTTCAGAACATCATTTTGAACATCTTTTGTTCAATATTACTTATCAAAATATTTCTCACTTTTGAGATACAAAGCGTCAAAGATTTTGCCTTCTGGCCCCTTGTGGCCCCTAATTATGTAATGTACGACTTTAAAATCATTATATACTGTTGTAGATTGTTGAGATAAACATTTTTACTTCAGTAATGTATTACAAATTATTGACTGTTAAAGAGTTATCGAAAAAAGACTTTTAGCCCCTCTTGGCCCCTAATTTGTGTGTCCAGCCCCTTTTTCTGGGTTTCATCTTAAAGCTCTTAGGATTTTGAGCACTTTTTGTTCAACAACTATTCAGAGATTCTTTTTCGTTTTCGAGTTATTCGCAAAAGAAATATTTAGGGGCCAACCCTTCAACTCCCTAATGGGGACGTTTAGCGAAAAATGAAAGGTTGCATATTGTTCAGAACATCATTTTGAACATCTTTTGTTCAATATTACTTATCAAAATATTTCTCACTTTTGAGATACAAAGCGTCAAAGATTTTGCCTTCTGGCCCCTTGTGGCCCCTAATTATGTAATGTACGACTTTAAAATCATTATATACTGTTGTAGATTGTTGAGATAAACATTTTTACTTCAGTAATGTATTACAAATTATTGACTGTTAAAGAGTTATCGAAAAAAGACTTTTAGCCCCTCTTGGCCCCTAATTTGTGTGTCCAGCCCCTTTTTCTGGATTTCATCTTAAAGCTCTTAGGATTTTGAGCACTTTTTGTTCAACAACTATTCAGAGATTCTTTTTCGTTTTCGAGTTATTCGCAAAAGAAATATTTAGGGGCCAACCCTTCAACTCCCTAATGGGGACGTTTAGCGAAAAATGAAAGGTTGCATATTGTTCAGAACATCATTTTGAACATCTTTTGTTCAATATTACTTATCAAAATATTTCTCACTTTTGAGATACAAAGCGTCAAAGATTTAGCCTTCTGGCCCCTTGTGGCCCCTAATTATGTAATATACGACACAAAAATCATAATATACAGTTGTAGATTGTTGAGATAAACATTTTTACTTCAGTAATGTATTACAAATTATTGACTGTTAAAGAGTTATCGAAAAAAGACTTTTAGCCCCTCTTGGCCCCTAATTTGTGTGTCCAGCCCCTTTTTCTGGATTTCATCTTAAAGCTCTTAGGATTTTGAGCACTTTTTGTTCAACAACTATTCAGAGATTCTTTTTCGTTTTCGAGTTATTCGCAAAAGAAATATTTAGGGGCCAACCCTTCAACTCCCTAATGGGGACGTTTAGCGAAAAATGAAAGGTTGCATATTGTTCAAAACATCATTTTGAACATCTTTTGTTCAATATTACTTATCAAAATATTTCTCACTCTTGAGATATAAAGCGTCAAAGATTTAGCCTTCTGGCCCCTTGTGGCCCCTAATTATGTACCATACGTCATAAAAATTATAATATATAGCTGTAGATTGTTGAGATAAACATTTTTGCTTCAGTATTATATTACAAAATATTAACTGATAAAGAGTTATCGATTAAAGACTTTTGGCCCCTTTCTGCCCCTAATGTGATGAGTCAGCATTTTTTTCTTGATATCATTTGAAAGATCTCGTTGTTCTGCACAAATGATGTTCAGTATGTTCTTACAAAATATTTATACTTTAAAAGATATGATGCAAAATGTCTCCAAAAATCACTCGTGATTCGTGTCCTAAATTTTGACCCCTACCGAGCTTCCATACTAGATACTTCCGGAAACTATCCAAACTCCCAGTAACATGGGGACATGTCCTCTATCATCACTGAAAATTTCAGCGCTCTAGCTCAAGCTGTTTTCGAGAAAATGAACGGACAAGGAGGTCCTCTGAATTTTGATAAAAGGGCGATAACTCTAGACCGGAAGTGATTTTCACAAAATCCTTCAGCCGGTATAAACTTCAGATTATCCTACAACATCTCTGAAAATTTGAAGCAAATCCATCCAACCATCTCTGAGAAATCTTCTGCACAAAATTTGTGCAGAAAAAAAGAATAATAATAATAATAAGAAAAGTGAAAAAGAAACATAAGAATAATAGAAGGGTCTTCCGCTGAAGACGGAAGACCCTAATAATAAGAAACAGAGTAAAAACAATATGTTCCCCAACTTCGTTTGGGGAACATAATAATAATAATAAGAAACAGAGTAAAAACAATATGTTCCCAAACTCCGTTTGGGGAACATAATAAAAGAATTTTCCTACCTACTTGACCTATTTTTTCAGGCTGATAGCAGGAAACAAGACTTTTCTCCCCATATGTACATATCTGCTGTTTTTTTTAGTCTTTTATAGTGAGAATTCTATTTTAAAAATCAACAAGAGGCCCATGGGCCACATTGCTCACCTGAGCACAGTGGCTAGGAAAAAGTAGAAATTGGTTTATTATTTAATAATTTAAATCCAAAAGTAGTCCCAATACCAATTCTGGCTTTGCTATTCTTGATAAGATGATTTTTAAAGAATTTTCCTATATATGTCTATGAAAAACTTTGGTCGGCCATTGTGGCCCCGCCCTACCCCCGGGGTTATGATTTGAACAAACTTGAATCTACACTACCTGAGGATGCTTTCATATAAATATGATCAATTAGGGCTTTGTGATTCTTGAGAAGAAGATTTTTAAAGAAATTTCCTATATATTTCTATGTAAAACTTTGGTCGGCCATTGTGGCCCCGCCCTACCCCCGGGGGTCATGATTTGAACAAACTTGAATCTACACTACCTGAGGATGCTTTCATATAAATATGACCAATTATGGCTTTGTTATTCTTGAGAAGAAGATTTTTAAAGAAATTTCCTATATATTTCTATGTAAAACTTTGGTCGGCCATTGTGGCCCCGCCCTACCCCCGGGGGTCATGATTTGAACAAACTTGAATCTACACTACCTGAGGATGCTTTCATATAAATATGATCAATTAGGGCTTTGTGATTCTTGAGAAGAAGATTTTTAAAGAAATTTCCTATATATTTCTATGTAAAACTTTGGTCGGCCATTGTGGCCCCGCCCTACCCCCGGGGGTCATGATTTGAACAAACTTGAATCTACACTACCTGAGGATGCTTTCATATAAATATGACCAATTATGGCTTTGTTATTCTTGAGAAGAAGATTTTTAAAGAAATTTCCCATATATTTCTATGTAAAACTTTGGTCGGCCATTGTGGCCCCGCCCTACCCCCGGGGGTCATGATTTGAACAAACTTGAATCTACACTACCTGAGGATGCTTTCATATAAATATGACCAATTATGGCTTTGTTATTCTTGAGAAGAAGATTTTTAAAGAAATTTCCTATATATTTCTATGTAAAACTTTGGTCGGCCATTGTGGCCCCGCCCTACCCCCGGGGGTCATGATTTGAACAAACTTGAATCTACACTACCTGAGGATGCTTTCATATAAATATGATCAATTATGGCTTTGTTATTCTTGAGAAGAAGATTTTTAAAGAAATTTCCTATATATTTCTATGTAAAACTTTGGTAAGCCATTGTGGCCCCGCCCTACCCCCGGGGGTCATGATTTGAACAAACTTGAATCTACACTATCTGAGGATGCTTGCATATAAATATGATCAATAATGGCTGTGTGATTCTTGAGAAGAAGATTTTTAAAGAATTTTCCTATATATTTCTATGTAAAACTTTGGTCGGCCATTGTGGCCCCGCCCTACCCCCGGGGGTCATGATTTGAACAAACTTGAATCTACACTACCTGAGGATGTTTCCCCATAAGTTTCATCTTTCCTGGCTCAGTGGTTCTTGAGAAGAAGATTTTTAAAACATACCATCAAATTTTCATTAATTCCCAATTATCTCCCCTTGAATGAGGGCCTGGCCCCTCATTTGAACAAACTTGAATCCCCTTCACCCAAGGATGCTTTGTGGCAAGTTTGGTTGAAATCGGCCCAGCGGTTCTTGAGAAGAAGTCGAAAATGTGAAAAGTTTACAACGACGACGAAGACAACGACAACAACGACGACGACGACAGACAACGGACAAATTGTGATCAGAAAAGCTCACTTGAGCCTTTGGCTCAGGTGAGCTAAAAATGTAGTTAATAATACTGCTATCTGGCATTAACTGAAGATAACCTATACAAAATCCAATTCAAAACAAGAGTAAAATCATCCAAATTCAAACATAATAATCACTTGTATCATAACATCTTGTCAAATATACAAACTACTGAAAAAAACACTAACAATTCAGCCTGAGGAACCATTTAAAAAGTGATCAAAGTTAAGTAAAGATGTATCTAACAATGAAATCTGATAATTTGTGTCTATGTCCACACATCCTCCAGGTACCGTTTTCCAAGCCTCAGTTTGGTCACATGACCTCTGGCTTCACTGTCACTTAGGCCTCTCTTCTCTTGCAGAATTGTCATAAAAGCTTGATTCACATCTTTGGCCATATTCTTTGCATCACCACAAACATAAATCACTGCATTCCTGTTCTCTATCAAATCAAGCATTTGATCAGCATGCTTAAGAATGTTATCCTGCACATACTTAGGCTCTTCTGTAGAACTAACGCGGGAAAATGAGACAAACAGTTCGGTCAAAACACGAGCCTCCTGTAGTCTCATAAGTTCTTCCCTGAATAAGAAATCCTGAGATTGGTTCCTGCAGCCAAAGAACAGAAATGTTTCTCCAAACACTTGGTCCTCAGTTTCAGGATGGCTCATCTGCATTTCTCTGTGTTGTAGGAATCCCACAAAGGGGGCTACCCCTGTACCAGGCCCAACCAAAATAATAGGTACAGATACATCAACAGGCAAGCGGAAAAACTGATTAGACCTTGCAGAAATTTGCAACTGTAGGCCTTTTCCATTAGTCCCTTCTGATTCCTGATATCCTATATTTTGAATATCTAATGTCCTCTTATCTAACATACCCGTGCATATTCCCTGCCTTGAAAAGCTCCTACCATCTCCTTCTGGAATATTGACCACATTGAAGACAATATCTAGCTGTCCCGGTATTTTCAGTGGGGAGCTGCAGGCAGAGTATGGTCGTGGTTGTAGCTTTGGAAGTGACTCTATTAACCTCTCCACAGGAGGCTGACAGGAAGGAAATGCGTGGAGGAGATCAAGTATACTGATCTCAGGATTCCGGATAAACTTGGTGTAATCAGCCATACCCTGTTTACTACAAAGTTCTTGAAGTCTTCGCTTCCCTTTGGGGTTTGTCGTCTCTTCCACAAGCTGTCTTATCACAGACTTTTTTGGAGGTTCCCTTATATCTATATGGAAAGTGAATAAGTTTTTGAGTGTTGAGACTGTGGGGAGATGGAGTGGAATCACTGCTTTTGCCTTTTTGGTGTCTTTCATCAGCTCAATCTGACAAACACAATCAGCTTTGTCTAGAACATTCAGCCTCTTAAGTAACATTTCCACCTCTTTTTCTTCATTCTGGCAATAAACAGACACAGAATCCCCTGGTTGGTACGAAAAATCACTGTCAAGTTTTAGTCCCAATTTCAAAGTTTTCTTTATTGCATCCTGTGAAGTTAAAATATCTGCACTGATAATTGTGGCATTGGAAATGTTTGATGCAGTAGAAGTATTTAGTGGAGAAGGAGACTGGTCTACAACACTTTCTGTTGGATCATATTTAATGATGAGATATGCAGGTGAAAGCAGTGGAACTGTTACAGCACTATCACATAGTGGTTGAACTGATTTCCTGAGAGATGCTTCTGGGGTATCTTCTAGTAACACGTCTTCAAGCTTTCTTTCCAATGATTCTGTCCCATTAATTACAGATTTTACATCTAATTCTGATGTAGATACATTATGTCCATTAGAAACTTCTTGTTTCTCTTTAGAATCAACACTATCATTTGGAGGATCTCCATTTGTTGATGAATGACCGTTTGCTGTAACATTAGTCACTTCAGTTTTCTCACTTTGAACTACACCCTCTGTATTTTCTGCAAGCTTGACTGTACAATGAATACTATCACAACTTGTTTCATAGCTGCAGGGACCAGATTTGTTCAGTGAATCAAGGGATAAAAACTGTTTGAGTGCTGGAAAGAGTCCCTCAATCCATGGCTCTACTGCTTGTTCTAACCCCACTGCATCATCAGCCCAGCCACAGGGATAGAACCGCTGAGCCCCCAGTTCCTCTAATCTCTTGTCCAGGGTCTTGCCAGCATTGCAAAAATTCGTATAATTAGAATCACCCAGCCCCAGAAGAGCATAATTGAGATGTGATAAGTAATCACTTGGAAGAGTTTTCTTTTTCAATCTTCTGAAAAATTTTAAAGCCGTGTCAGGCGGTTCTCCATCCCCGGTTGTGGAAGTGACGATCACAACACAGGTCTCTTTTTCCAGGGTGAATTTCTTCTCCACCTGACTAAGACAATGTCTTTCGAATTCCAGTCCATGTGTGACTGAGTTCTGTTGGATCTCCTCAGTAATAGCATCAGCCTGTCCGGTCTGGGACCCAAAAAGAAGCAAGCAACGGTTTTTCTTCTCAGGCATTTTTTACCTAAAAAATAAAAGAACTTAGTCTTTGATTAACACATCCTTGCATTTCATGAATTATAAGTTGATTTATACCTTAGTGTTTAAGAAAGGAAGCAATTTTGTTTTGTATAGATGAAAAATATATAGCTATAAATCCAGAAAATTCAGAGTAACTGAGTAAGAATGTTCAAAAGCAAAACTCTCTCACTAGTATCGTGTCGATGCTCAGTGTTAGTTACAGGGTTTAGCAAATTGAATACACCCATGAAACTGTTTTTTGTAAATTGGACTCTGTTATTGTTAATTTTTACGATTCTCCGGGTGTGTTCAATTGTTAAACTCTGCAAACACCACTGAGCACAGACTTTTAATACTGTGAGTTGATTTTGCTTTCAAACATTCATACTCTGAAGTTTCTGGATTATAGTTTTATTATTTTTTATTAGTACACAACAAAATTTCCACTTTTTTAAGTACTATTAAGAATGAAATCAAAAATTCGTGATTCAAGCATTTTAATCGTTATTGTATTGATTATGATCAATTTAAAATTAATTTGTAACTTCTTACACAATTTAGAAATATTGTCATGGATTAAAAGTGACGTTTCGCCTAGTTTCATCATGCATCATTCACACTGCCCCCCACACTTCGACACCGTGATAAGAGTAAACACTTTTAATCACTGATGAATGGATGTGGTTAAAAGAAATCGCTAACAAATATTTTGAGCTCTTGTGAAAAGTAAATTTTATGGTTATAAAAAATGAAGGAATAAGAAATGAATCAAATACCTCTTTTCAGAGTTTTTGCCACGGTAAGTTCAAGTTGGGGCTTACACAATACAGGATCTGGTAATTAAGCGACTAAAATTAAAGTCATCTACGAAAGACCCAAAACATCCCGGAAACACGAAATTAAGGATAAATGTAGATAGGGTTAAGCTGCAAGGGTAAGGGTTAGCATTAGGGTTAGGGTCGACATTAGTGTTATCAAAGTATGGTTTCAGCATTAAAAGAACATTTTTTATCTCTAAATTATTTTATTTTAGCATATTCCTCTAGAGTTTCTCTGTAGAGAGAAAACAAACATATACAGGTCTGGACGATTTCCAAATAAGGAAGACAAGAACGATAACCGTGAATTGTTATTAATACACAGAATAAACAAGGCGCTTGTCAATCTGACCAATCAGATAACAGCATTCAGACAAACCCATGAGAAAATAAATAAAACACGTGGTTATTAAGTTTTTTGCTTAAAAGATTTTTTTTAGAACAAACTTTTTGTAAACTTTAAGCGCATTTGGGAATAATATAATATTTATGACAATTCTACCGTGAACAAACACGACTTAAAAGCTTAGAATACGTTTTAAGTGTGATAAAAAATCTGTCACTATGAAGTATAGCTATGGCACGCCAAATTCACAAAAATGAGCAAAACATAGTTTCACAGTCGATAAACTAGGTTTATCGGTTGTAAACTATAGTTTACGGACTGTAAACTATAGTTAACAACGTTAATCTATATTTTACATCTGTAAACCATAGTTAACGCGATAATCTAACCGAAAACGATCAATTGCGATTGCAAAACATAGATTATCTGATAAATACAGTCTCACGATTTGCAAACTATAGTTTACAAACCGTTAACTATAGTTAACGATCTGATAGATACAGTTTCACGATTTGTGAAACTATGATTAACAACTCTTAACTTTAGTTTACGATTGTAAACTATAGTTTACAAACGCGAATCTATGTTTATCAACAAAATCTATTGTTAACGCTTTATTCAGACAGATAAACTTAGATTAACATTCGTAAACTATATTTAACGACCGTTAAATATAGTTTTACAAATGAAAATTATACTTACCGAATCGTTAACTATACTTAACGAATCGTTAACTATAGTTTACGGTTTGTAAACTATAGTTTACAGTCGATAAACCTAGTTTATCAATTGTGAATGATGTTCTAAATAATTAAATGATATTGTTATGTAATTAACCCATGTTTATTGTATTTACCGTGAACAACCTTGACATTTTGATCTCGGTTAAGAAAAAATAATGCATGATAGAATCTAATCGTTTAGAACGGAGGTATAGACCGCACCAGTAAGTTCCTAAGTTCAATTATAACATTTACCAGAATATATTATTTGTTGGTAAATATAATTTTGCTTATCCGTCCAATTTTCATCGATAAAGCTCAAATTCCACGTGTATAGATCAACTCACACAAGTGTTTATCGTATGGACTATACACATATTATGGTTTTAAATTATCACAGGTTTCATGTGCGCCGAATACAATGCTATGCAGACTATAAATATAATACCCATTATTTAAATTATCATGGTTCCATATTTTCATACAAAGATACACAGTAAATGTTCTATCAAGACTGTTTTTCCTCAACATCGAAATATTAACAGCAGTGCAGTAGAAACTTCCAGAGTACTGTCGCAAAAACATAGTCGAGAATTAAGTGGTGTAAATCAGATTTGGATACTATAAAACTCTAAGAAACTTTTCGAAAATTGAAATGAAAAAATAACCATTTAATAAAAACATAAAAAGCTAAGACTTCGACACTCTATACAACTATTCCTCCCGATAAGATTTATAGATTTAGGTTTCTTGACATCATAGACAGCTGCTCATTAAATAAAATTGGAACTCGTAAATTAAATTAACTTGACATTGGTCATTTGCTAAATTATATTTTGTAAAAACATTACCCACAAGTACTTTGAAGATGATTTTGAAAACATGCTTGAGTTTCTGAATGACAATATCTACATGTATGTGGTTTTGGAGATCAGTCTATATAGGTACCAATCCTGCCCCGTAATTAGCAGACCTATTTTTGTATTCATAGATAGGATTAGGGGGCATAATTCATTCAAAATCTTATATACCAGTTTGAGAAGAAGAGAACTCTAGCTTTAGCCTGAACACCTTGTCATTTAGATATACCGACGACGCATTATCAATCCATTCATATGTCGACACGATATATCCCAGTGAGCTTGCAATTAGGGATACCACAGAGTATGACACATCTGTTTCATATTTGGATAATTTACTAGAAAAAGACTTCAAAGGTAATCTAACAACCAAGCTTTATGAAAAACACGATGACTTTAATTTCTATCGTCAACCTCCCTTACCTATGCAGTAAATAGCTGCAGAACTGTAGCTCTCCAAAAAATATATATTGACAGACCGGTCTGTCAATATACTAGTATATATTTTTCGGAGAGCTACAGTTCTGCAGCTATGCAGTAATATACCCGTCACACCTACATATGGGGTTTATATATCTCAGTTGATTTAATACGGGACAGCATTGATTATCTACGTGTGAATATTTTCTAAAACGAGGTAAATTATTGACAAACAAGTTGATGAAACACGGATATCAACACTCTCACATAAGTCATCATTTCTTAAGTTCTATGGTCGAAACAATGACCTTGTCATCAAAGTAATACGATCCAAATGCTGACAGTTTTTCATGCCAATTTTTAGACCATCATTTACACACCGAATTGTCGATGGATTTTTCCAACGGGTAACCCTTTTCCAACATTAGCAAATTTAAGTGCATATTTCTTGTCGCGAGGATGCGAGCCAAAGAACATTAACACAGTCATAATAATAATTTGTTTGAGGTGCATTGTGGGTAGTGTACAGAGATTTGCTTCGAAAAAAAAAAATATTGTATTTGACTGGGATGTCACAATAGCCCACAGCTCGATATTAATTCAAAATGTTGCTGTTTTTTTCGGCAGCTGGTATTGTTGACAGTGAGTACGAAGTAAGAGTATTTATAAATAAGATATTTAATTTCTTAAAAGCTAAAAAAAGGACCGTTCTCAAAATAATATGGGACTGGTCATTTTGTTAGCAAATGGCTATTGTCTCTCTACGTACCTTTTAAAAACAGTATACTAAATGCATCTCGTTTAAAATAATTCAGCTCAAGACATATTCCATTTTTGTATGAGATACAACAAACCAATAGTAAATTTCAACATTCATAAAATAAATTTATTATATAATACATTCAAGTGTTTATCTTCAAAGTTGAAAACATACATTCATAGTTCTATAATTTGATATCAGTACCTACACGGACGTATAAGTATATCAAACAAGATAGTCTTGCTATATATTTCGTAACTTGAGGGATTAAGGTCCAGTTACTTACACAGGAAAGAGATGGTATTAAAGAAACTGTAGAAGACCTTCAATGGAGGTCCATGAAGAATAATTTAGTGTTCACTGGTCTGGGAGGGGAGTCCAACAAAGAAAATACAGAAGAGAACCTGAGAGACTTCTTATATTATGAGCTAGGCATAGAGCATAATATTCAATTTGGAAGTGTACACAGATTTGGAAAATTTGAGCGAGGAAAAAACAGACCCATAGTTGCCCGATTTCTATACCAAAGCGAACGTCAGCTTGTGAAAGAAAATGCATACATGTTAAAAGGACAGCCTTTTGGCATACATGAACAATTTCCTCCAACAATGGTAGAGAGACGTAAGAAGTTACTGGCGGTCCAACACAGACTCCGCAATGAAGGCCACAGGACAAAATTGGTGAAAGACAAATTATTTGTGAATGGCAAGATATACCAAGAAAACTTCTTATCACTTTCATTTAGCGACACAGTTAAAATGCAACCGGGATCGAATCAGGTGAATTCTCCAAATGGACAACACAATCATTATCAGGCCCCAAACTCAGGAAGTAACCGACAAAGGCAGGTTGGATGTGTACAATCGGCACCTATGCATGAACATATTACCAACGGACCACCAGCGGCACATAGTGGACAGTAAGCCCCTAAGACAACTGTACAATCAGCACCTATGTATGAACGTACGACTAACGGACCAACAGCGGCACATGCTGGACAGTTGGCTCCTAACACAACCGCACAATCAGCACCTAGGTATGAACGCACAACCAACGGACCAACAGCGGCACATAGTGGACATTTGGCTTCTAACACAACTGTACAATCAGCACCAAGGTACGAACGTACTACCAATGGACCAACAGCAGCGCATAGTGGACATTCGGCTCCAAACACTACTGTGCACTCGGTGACTCCGATGAGTAACTTTCATATGCAGGTGAACAGTGGGGCACCGGATGCCCATACCTCTGCGCACCCTCCTATGCATGGCATGGCATTCACTCAGACATACAATGTGAACACGCGTACCACAAACCCAGCAGAATTTCAATATAAGAGCTCGGACAGGTCTGGGAGTAGTGTCAAGTGTGTTACGTGGAATGTGAATAAGGGACTGCGTCAAAAATTGACGGACAGTGAATTTATAAATATTGTAAATAATTATGATATAATAGTATTAATAGAATGTTGGATTACTTTTGATGATATTATTGAGTTAGATAATTATGATTGTCATACTTTTCCTAGGATTTGTGGAAGAGGTGGAGGAGTTGTTATATTTTCTAGATCTACTCTTTCGTTTAAGATTAATGTTGTTGAAAATTTTCATAATACAATTATTTGGTTAGAATTATGTAACCAATTTCACCATGATGTTAAACCTATCTATTTAGCTGCTTGTTATATACCACCTGAAAGTAGTACCTTTTATCAAAAAGAAATGGTCGACATTTTTTAACACCTCGAAGAATCAGTTTGTAACTTTACTAGCAAAGGATATGTATATGTTATGGGTGATTTTAATACAAGGAGTGGTAATTTATATGACTATATCTTAAACGATAGGTTAGAGAATAAGGTATCCAATAATCTTAAA